AAACTCTAGCACTACTGGACAATCTCGGCCTGCTAGTCAATCGGCAAAAGTCCCAATTGTGTCCGGTCCAGCGCATACAGTACATCGGCGCAATACTGGATTCTCAGACATGCATCGCTTACCTGCCCCACGATAGGGCAACAGATATCATCTCCTTAGCCACCGTCGTCCATACCCAAACCTCTGTCACTGCCTTCCAAATTCAGAGGCTGCTTGGCAACTACGTCAGTTCTCGTCTTTGCAAGACTAAAAATGCGCCCTTTACAACTCTGGTTCATCCGCAATTACGACCTGTCGAACAACGCACACACTGTCGTCCTATCCCCTCTGCCCAGCATACAGGACTCTTTACTTTGGTGGACTGTCCCTTTGAATATCCTCCAGGGAGCGCCCTTCCACCTTCCGTCACCCAAGGTCACCATAACGACGGATGCTTTCCTGACAGGATGGGGTGCACACTCCATGGGCCTCTCTGTTGGAGACAAACGGGACGCACAGATGAGGAAGCATCATATAAACTTCCTAGAACTGCTGGCTTTACGACATGCTGTAGCCAGCATCCTACCATTGATCAAAGGAAAATGTGTCACGGTCCTCACGGACAACACTACAGTGCTTTCCTATGTCAACAGGCAGGGAGGCACAGTGTCCCTTCGCCTATGCAACCTTGCCATCCAATTGTGGGACTTATGCATCGCCAACAATATATTCCTTGTGGCCACTCATATTCCCGGTCACATGAACGTACAGGCAGACCACCTAAGTCGAGCGGGACTCAGCCTCCATGAGTGGGGGATGAACCCAACTCCCACTCTTCCTCCCACTCTTCCACAAGTGGGGAGTTCCCCGTCGACATCTCTGCCACAAGAAACAACAGAAAGTGTCCTCTGTTCTGCAGTCAAGGAGGCAAAGACCCACAATCTCTGGGAGACGGCCTCCTTTACCCTTGGTCTACGGGACTTCTTTACCTGTTCCCCCCCTTACCTCTGCTTCTGAGAGTGGTCCGCAAGATTCTCAATGACGACGCGGACTGTATCTTCATAACTCCATGGTGGCCAAGACAACCTTGGTTTTCAACAGTCCTCGAGCTTTCACAGGGAACTTACCATCAATTCCCTCCGGCTCGGGACCTCCTCCTCCTCCCCCATCCTACATCATGACATACCACAGCTGAAATTGACGGCATGGAGAATAATGACACTGGCTTCTCCACCCGTGTAAGGAATGTCCTGTTAGATTCCAGGAAACCCACTACACGGAGGTCCTACGATTATAAATGGCATAGGTTCTGCTCTTTGCTTGGAGATGATGCCCCTCGAGCCACCTCAGTGGGTCTCGAACGAGTGTTGCAATTCCTCCTCACCCTAGCTGACTCCGGGACTTTCCCATTCTTTGTTACGAGTTTATTTGGCCGCCCTTTCGGCCTACCATGTTCTAGTTGACGGATGTACGTTGTTTTCTCATCCTATTTCAAAACGTTTTTTAAAGGGTTTGTTACACCTCTACCCTCCTGTCAAAACTCCAGTCGCTCCTTGGAACCTTCCCCTCGTTATCCGTCAGCTAACGAGGAAGCCCTTTGAGCCGCTTGCAACATGGGACCTCAAAATCCTGGCATGGAAAACAGCCTTTTTAATTGCCATTACCTCGGCTAGGCGAGTGGGAGAAATGTTGGCCTTCCGCCATGATACACTTTTCCTGTCGTTCCTGCCAGACAGAGTCCTCCTCGTCCCAGACATCTCCTTCATGCCGAAGGTGGTGTCAGAGTTCCACCTGCAGGTGGAGGTCTTCCTC